ACTTATAAAGCCTACCATTCCCATGATGCTCCATGACCCAGAACCCCACCATCCCTTTCTGACTGCTCTCCCCTCATGCATTCTGCTGCAGCCATTTTGACTTCCTTGCTTTCCTTGAATGCTGCAGGGCCTTTGCACTGGCCCATCTAGAACCATCTGCCTAAAGCACTCCAATATTTGCATAAATTCTCCCTCACTTCCCTTAAGGTTCAAATGTCACCTTCTCATTGAGGCCTTTACTGAGTTCCCTGTCTCTTAAGAACCCAGGTTGTAGGCTCCCTGGGGGGCCTTAATGCCCTTTCCTGCCTTCTGGATTCTCATCAGCACCTATTACTGTCCATTTGTTAATTAATTTACTACTTTGTTGTACTTAGTGTCTGCAGACACTAAACATTCTCAGTAGAATGGAAGCCTCATGAGGAGGGAGATTTTCCTCTGTTTATTGATATACCCCCAGGGTCTAGAAGTCACAGTACCCAGTGAGCTGGTGCTCAATAAGAATTTATTCCGTGGAAGATGGGTTCTTTGTTATAGATACGAATGAGATCACAGAAGCTCAAAGAGCATTGTCATTTGCCTTTGGTCTTTCCTGCTTTTCTTCCCTTTCTAACTATTTTAACTTTTTTTTTTTTTTTTTTTTTTACTGGAGTGATGATGTTTGTTTACTCTACAATTGGCATAGCAAGAAGCATCTAATAATATGGTTTCGGTACAATGTCCCTTCCTGATCTTCAAGAGTTCACGGCTGTGTTCAACAGTGTCCCAGGAGCATGCCCTGGAGCTTAGGATAATTTTCAACAGCAGTCTTCCAGAGTTTCAAGATCATAGGCCAGAGTAATGAGCATGGACCAGACTGTCATGTCCAAGAGAGCCGGAGGAGAAAGCTTCTGGCAGAAAGAGGCAAGACTAAAGGATCGGGGGCCACTGGGAGCCAGTGGCAGGGAACAGAGATGGAGGCAGGTGAAGCCTTGGGGTCCTGGGGTTACAGGGCTGTAGGAAGGGGTGTGATCCCAAATCAGGGTGCAGACAGAATGGAATAGTCACACTCGACAGCAATTATCTGAGTGCAATGTTCATTTGCCTTGAACCCTACCCAAAGAGTGGAAGTGACAGCCAAATGGATCCCACAATGACGCTGGTTTTTTAATCAATAATGTAGCTGAGGGTGGAGGGGAGGGGTGGGGGCGTTAGTGGGGGGTGGAATTCACCGTCATCCAGTATCAGTGCATCTCTTGTGGACTGAAAGGACAGGCTGGAGCAAGGCCAGGATGGCTGCAGGCCAGGGCTTTCAAGTGACCATTCTTAGGTTTTCTCCTTTTTCTTTCCCTTTCTCTTCCTCCGTCCCTTTTTTCTTCCTTTCCTTTCTTCCATTCTTACCTTTTTTGGTTCCGTTTTCTGGTTTTGGCTTCTATGTATGTTCGTGGGGGTTTGTGTGTGTGTTTCTTGGTACGTTTTCCTTTTGATTTCTCTTATTTTGAAGCTGATTTCCCTTTGAAAATCCTGGCTTGCCTGACTTGAGTGAAAACTCGCAAGGGAAAAAAGATGGCAGTTTTGTCAGTGTTGGACCCTAGAGATTTGTCCTCCAGGGCTGGGAGCAGCGACGTCAGGGCCTCCCTCAGAGAGACCGTCTCCAGGGGCAGCAACTAGCAGGCTCACTCACACAGCAGATCTCTGCCACCGGGAGACCCTTCCCCTGGGCCTCCACAGGCCCAGACCTCGGAGGGCTTCTGTGTCCTTCTGAAAGTGTAGCCAATTCCCTGGGACCAAGCCCTGTTTTAAAATATAAGATACAAAAAGAATTTTTCAGAAAATAACTGCCAGTGAAGATCAGAGCTTGTTACACTCACAGATCCCAAGAGGAAGGGGCTACATGGGGAAGCACCAGGGTCACCAGCAGAGGCAGGGAGGAAATCTGGAGCTGGAGACACTTTTCATGAGAAGAATGGATGAAACAGGTAAGCAAGCCTAGGATTGGCTGTTTGAATAATTTCAGCAGGTTCTGGGGCACAGGGGTATCTCTAGGTGCCTGGGTCCTGGCCCTAGGATATTAGGAATGTGGATAGTGGCCTGGAGTGTGAGAGTCTAATCTAGGAGGTGATTGGTTTACAAGGCATGTTTGCAAGACAGGTGAGCTGTTTGCTCTCTCTAGGAATTATCTAGGCCAGGGAGAGGCAGTCTCACTGGGTTATCAAGGCCCCAAATGTCAAAGCATCAAAAACACAGAATAAAAAGTCTTGATTAATAGTCCTGGGAGCAGCTCAGTTCAAGGAGAAAAAGTACTAGCCTGGCAGTCGGAAGCCATGAACATAGCATTCACCCTTTCTCCTGAACAATGAAGATAATGTGGATCAGCGTGAGGACACCTCACATCACAAATACTCTATTATCTTCATCTAAACCATATCAGTGACCTTCCAAACTCATCTGAGGAAGGAGGGAATGAGGAAGGGGAGATCAGGCATAAAGACCTGGGACCCACCCTGGGTTGGCTGGAGGCACAACAGATGGACAGAAAAGTCACAAGTTTGGGAACTGAGGAAACACAATGAAGGAATGAAGTGGAAAGTTGGTGAGGTGAGATGGTTCAGGATCCAGGTCTTCCCCATCAGTCCCTTCCAGTGCACCTCTTTTACACAACCTTCCAGGCCAAGCCCAGGCAGACAGTTAGGATGAGATGGAAAAGAAGAGACAGTAAGTGCTGAGGGTCTTCAGGCAGGAAAAAACCCACATGCTTGGAGACTAATTGGGTGAATTCTCACTAAAGTGATCATGACTTGATATATATTTCCTTCCAGAATCACTTTTTTAAAATTGAAGTATAGTTAATTTACAATGCCGGGTTAATTTTTGCTGTACAGCAAAGTAATTCATCACACACATATATGTTCTTTTTCATAAGGTTTATCACAGGATACTGAAGACAGTTCTCTGTTATACAGTAGGACTTGGCTGTTTATCTATCCTGTGTGTGAGAGTTTGCATCTGCTAATCCCAGACTCCCCTCCCATTCCATCCCCTGCCTCCCCCTCAGCAAGCACAAGTCTGTTTTCTCTGTCTGTGAGTCTGTTTCTGTTTTGTAGATAAATTCATTTGTGTCATATTTTAGACTCCACATACAAGTGATATCATATGGCATTGTTATTTAGAAAGAAGTCACCTAGAAAGAGAAAGAGACAGCGATCACAGGAAAAAGTCAGCCCCTAACACTGTAACACTCTTCAGTCTCAAGCACTATGTCTCCAAAACGAGTTGACAATGACATAATATTGGAACACTGCTTCCTACTTCCTTTCTTGGAAGTTCACAGTTAACATCAACACCTTAACAGCTCAGGGAAGGTTTGAGGTGAAGGGAACCTGTCTAACCATGTTCACCCAGTATTTCCTAAGTGATTTCATCATGAAACCCTTTCCCTTCTCTTATTACCATCCCAAGCCCTATACCTTGGACTAGAGCAATGTATCTTTAACAGTAAGATGTTCGTGACCTTCACATAAACAAGGAAGACCATCTCTGTCAGGGTACCCGCCCAGGGGTCCGTGTTTGTGTGTGTAAGTCGCTCAGTTGTGTCCAACTCTTTGCAACCCCGTAAACTGTAGCCCGCCAGGCTCTTCTGTCTACGGAATTCTCCGGGCAAGAATACTGAAGTGGGTTGCCATTCCCTTCTGCAACCTGCCTAGGTACATCCCCACATTACTTGACCAAGCAGAGTGACCACACAGCCAGAACGCGGGAGAGCGCAGGTCTGAGGTAAGAGCATCCCATCCGGGGCAGAGCAGCAGGTACTGTGAGGGACGTGCCCGCTCTTCAGGCCAGCGTGAAATCTGAAGTCCGAGGACAGCAGCTGGATATGGGGTCAGGCGCAAGCCATAGGACCAGGAGCAGGAGATACGTTTTGAGAGCTTGCTCACAGTCAGAGGCAGGTGTTATTGCCCAGTCCCACGGGTAGCATCCTTACCTTAAAAACACCACTTGGCTTCGTCTCTCAAGGGGAACCATGGAGCCAGCTGGCGTGTAACCACACCTTGGGTTACCTGCCCACAGTCACCAAGAGTAGTAGCAAGGCACTCAGTAATGTTCATAAATATGGAACCATGGCACTAATTCCAACCAGACAGAAAATTAAGCTCCCAGATACCAGGGGAGTTGACTTCATCACACGGGCAGAGTCACACTGCTTTAGAGTAGGAGACAGAACGGACCCTACTTTTATATAATAGTTTGCATCTGCTAATCCCAGAATGGACCCATTCTCCCCACCAGCTTTACAAGGGAGGATGAAGTCTCTAACTGGCCGGTAAAGATCAAAGTGTATCCGATGCGGAATTTGAGTGTCACAGACCTGTCAGAATGAGGAAATGAGTCATCACATATGCACACAGCAATCAGAATCATAAAGAGGGAGTGAGTGGAGGAAGGAAGTCCATGGATTCTCCAATAATAGAGACCAACACATTGAATGTGCACCTGTGACCAGCCCTGGGCTAATCACTTTACCTGGATTATCTCGTTTAATCCTCACTAGCTCTGCGCAGCTCGAGGGGGTTAAGAAGCTCGCCCCAGGTCAGGGGCACTCTCAGGGCTGGAACCTGGCTTTAGCTCTGGCAGTTGATCTCCAGAGCCCACATTCATACACTGCCTTCTTTCTCTCCTCTCATTGCACCCAGTGACACTTCCTCACCTCACAGCGTTTGCCGGGCCCTCCTTCCTTCTCCTGTAGCATCCTCTCCCCACAACATGGCCTCATCTCTCTCTGCTGACAGGTCCCTAAACCAGCACTGCCTGATGGATCTTACACGCAGTGGGCTCTAATTAGGCTGAGACTTGATTTCCCATCTTGAGGGGCAGTGGGTTGGGACCTGGGCTGGTAGCCCTGGTTGCCAACTATAGCGATCCCCTCCAGATTCCAGAACCACCCTCCACCCTCTGCTCCGTGATGAGATGCTGGGTGCTGGGGAGCTGCAAGTATGGAGCCATCACAGACGTCTCCGCGGGAGGCTCTAACCACAAGCGCGAGAGGGGGACCGGAAGGCAAGGGGAGGAAGAGGACTCTCTCCTGCCAGCTTGCTGGCTGCTCCGTCAGCGCTGACCTGGGCTCGGCTCCCGCCCTCCACCCTGAACCCAGCTCCCGGCCTGTCTGCCTCCTGGGCCTTGTCCGACTGCCCCTCAGGAGGATCGGCAGCAGCCAGGCCGGTCCCTTCCAGGAGGCGGGTTCCCAGCGCCCTGGATCCCTCTTCCGAGTTCCTGGGCTGCCAGCAGCGGTGGCTCAGCACCCCCATACCGCAAGGACTGGGCCCAGCAGTCCGGGAGCCTCCTCCAAGCCCCAGGTCTGAGCATCGCGGCGTCTGTCCTCTCCCGCAGCCTGGAGCTGCCGAAGCTCATGCTCCGTGTGGGTTCTCGCTTCAGTCCTCATGCCAGGTTTAACCAATTCCCTGTGCTGGAACAGAGTAACTGACACAGTAACTAGGGCGGTTTCTGAGTTCCTGAACTGGACCCTGATTCGCATACCTGGATATCCCAGGGTTATCCTGGATAACCCTCCAAGCTTGGTTCTCTGTGTGTGAGAGTGAAAAGGTGGTACAAACACTACTCCCAAACCCCACGCCCGACCCCCGATACAGGCCCAGGGAGAAGCGGCCAGAAGACAGCACAGTCAGAGTTCATCCCCTCGTAGACACACCCAAGAAAGCAATTCCAAAATCAGAGTCAAATGGATGCTCTTGAGCATTTAATTTTTCTAGACGCGCACGTGAGTCCTCCTAGGACTGGATGTGCAGACTAACCGTGTGCTGCGTTTAGTCATTCAGTCATGTCCGACTCTTTGCGACCCCATAGACTGTAGCCTGCCAGGCTCCTCTGTCCGTGGGGATTCTCCAGGCAAGAGCACTGGAGAGGGTTGCCATGCCTCCTCCAGAGTAACCATGATTGTCATTAACTCTGAGTCCACAGGCTTTCCTGAGTGCTAGGGCTGCAGGCGGGGATAGGGGTAGGCGGTATTTTCTTTCTTGCTCTAAAATCAAGCGATTATGACACAGGAAGGTGTAAGTTCAGACTCCTTTAAATGTGAAAAGCAAAAAGTCTCGGATTGCAGCCCAGTATTCAGCTTATCTCTTTCTATTAATCAATCACCCAGGATTTATCAAGCACAGTAGTTGCCAGCCCCAAGGCACACACTTGCAGATGCCGACAGAAGGTAATCTCTCCAAATGCACTTATTTCCCTTCACAGCCCCTCTGGGCTCTCAGTGAGGACTCAAGAGACACGTCTCATAATTTCCCATTGTTGCTCATCTATTTTTATCCTTCTTATATGAATCAAAGCGTGACGTACTGTCCCACTGTTCAAAGCCTGACTCTGGTAAAGCTTTTGATATCATTTGTTATCTTCAAAAAGATGTATGACTTGTTCCCCGACCTCAAAATCAGATTCAAATGATCTCATCATGAAATACCTTATGCTGAGTGGACAGGTGGATGATATCAGTGCACAGAGAATTTACGAAATCAGCAACTGGCAAAGCCAGGTCTGCACACTCTCATGAGCTGGATCCCTCTTAGAAGAGAAGGGCCGACCTGCTGTCCACACCAGGCTTGCGCCAGAATTGGCCAGTTCTGTCCTGGAGACCTAGAGATCATTCCAGATGGACAGACCAGGAATTAATCATTTAAGGCAAAATGCATCCTAATAATGGCAACTTAATAACAGTAATAATGAATATAATAATAACAATGATAATGCTTAGTAATTCTTCAGTACAAGTCAAAGTTCTGTACTTACCTTAACCACTAATATGGGCTGAATCGTGTTTCCCTAAAATTCACATATTGAAGCCCTAACTGTTCATGTATTGAAGCTCTCGCGTCCAGTACCTCCAAATGTGACTGTGTATTTGGATCAGGGTCTTCAAAGAAATAAGTAAGTTAAACGGGGTCATTAGGGTGTGCCATAGTCCAATTTGATTGATGCCTCTTTAAGAAGTAGAGACTAGGACACCGAGAGAAGGACCTCATGGGAGCACACTGACAGAGGCCTTCTGCCAGCCGAGGGGAGAGGTTCTGGGAAAAAAACAACCAAATCTATGCCTTGATCTTTGTCCTCTTGCTGCCAGAACTATGAGAAAGTAAATTTTTGGTTCTTTAAGCCACTGAGTTTGTGGTCCTTTGTTAGGGCAGCCCTAACAGAATAATACACCCATGAACTTAAAACCTATGGAGAAGACCATACTTTGAGAAGATACAGGCACCTTAATGCTCATTGCAGAGCTATTTACAATAGCCAGGACATGGAAGCAACCTAAATGTCCATCAGCAGAGAAATGGATGAAGACGTGGCCTATACATACATATAGATGTGTATATATATGTGCTGGAATACTACTCAGCCATAAAAAATAATGAAATAATAATACCATTTGCAGCAACATAGGTGGCCCTAGAGACTGTCACACTAAGTGAAGTAAGTCAGATAAAGAAAGACATATATCATACATCACTTTTATATGGAATCTAAAAAAATGGTATAAATGAACTTATTTACAAAACAGGAATAGAGCCACAGATGTGGAAAACAAATTTAGGGTTACCAAGGGGGAGAGGAGGGGAAGGATAAACTGGGAGACTGGGATTAACCCATACATGCTGCTGTACATACAATGGAGAGTAATAAGGATCTATTGTATAGTACAGGGAAATCTACTCAATACTCTCAATGACCTATATGAGAAAAGAATCCGTAAAAGAGGGGCTATATGTATGACTGATTCACTTTGTTGTACACCTTAACTATCACAACACTGTAAATCAACTATTGCTCAAAAAAAAAAAACAAAACACCTCCCTAACACAAAGGAAGGTTTACTCAACTGTAGATGTTTTCCTTATTTTCAGCTGGTAAAAATGAGGCAGGAAGAAACTCGTGGGCTTTGCCTGGGTCTCTCAACTCACCTGTGAATGGGTGGGGTTTCAACTAACTCTCTTTCTTGGTCTGTTGGCTGCAGCTCTGTTCTTCAGCTGGAGTGATTGGGGACATCAGTATTAAGCAGATATTTTCAAAAAGCAATCAACTCCAGATTTTCCATTATTAATGTGGAATAGAGCTTATACAGAAAATGAAAACACACATATATTTCAAAACCCAATATTAGCCATTAATGTCAACCCAGTCAAACACTCCAGATTTCATCAACTCCTGCTGTTTCCCTTTGAGGAAAATCCTAGCAGTGTTATGAATTCATCTATTATCTTTAACTATTCGTAAAGTATCGAGGTTGACAAAGCCCAAACTTCTCTCTGATAGAAGCATTCTAAAGTTTATCTGTATTCTTGTGGGAGAAATGGAACTTCTAGATCCTTGGCTTATTTTTAAATTACAAATGCTAAATTAACATTTTGTAAGATGAATCTGACATGCAAAATGGTTGGTATAGTTTTTCTTAATCCTCTGCTTCAAAGAGAAGCTGTATTTTCTTAGATCGACCAACTAATCTACCCTAATAATTTGCTTTTATCTTTTTTTTTTTTTAGCAGACAACTTCTTTTTTCAAAAACAACATTTTTGTGGAGGTGGGATGTATAACAAGAAGAAACCTGAGCTTCTCTGGTGGAAGAGAAGACCTTAATCTCCAACACAGCCTCCTTCTTGCACGTTCATTTTCCTTGACTCCGAGGAAAATAGTATGAAAACCACAGACCTATTCCAAGCCTCTCATTTTACAGATATAGAAACTGGGGCCCGTGAAAACATGGCTGTGGCCAAGACTGAGCATTTGACAATGACACAGCCAGGCCAGGAACACACATCTCCTGATTCCTGGTTCATGATCCTTGTTTGCATCACACTGTTTTGGCAAGACTACTGCAGAAAAGGGGGCTCCCTTCCAGGGCCCGAGAGTAGACTCTTGTTTAACACTAGGGGATGAGTTACTGGAGGAGACACACATACTAACAAAGGAAAGATTTTATTGGGCAGGGCTGCCTGAGTGGAGACCAGCAGAGTAAGGGAACCAGGAGGACTGCTCTGCCATGAGGCAGTCTGAGGCTTTATGGCGATAGGGGTACTTTCTGGGCTGTCTCTGGCCAATCGTCTTGCTTGGCCCATATTTAGTCTGACAACAGGTCCCTCCTGGTGGTGTACACATTTCTCAGCCAAGATGAATTTCAACTCTAAAGATTCTGGGAAGTTGGCAGGATATATTATGGGCTGGTGTCTCCTCCCTCCTTTTGGCCCCTCCTGAATTTTCCTGCTTAGTTTTCAGTGGCAACACCATGTGCCTTATGAGACCTCCTGTTGTGAGACAGCTCAAGTGGTTATCATCATGCCTGGCCAAGGCAGACGGATTTAGTCCATGGTTCCCTAACAAGGCCATCTTCGTTTGACAGTCTAGGTCCCAGGACAGTCTCAGTGCTTCAACCAGATGCAACTTTCACTGCTAGGACACACATCGTGGTGAGATACATATGTCCGTGTCAGTTACATCAAGCAAGTCTGTTAAGTACCCAGAATTTGGAGGCAGATGTCCAAACATAGGGTCCCAAATGCTCAGGTCAGGCTTCTCTGCTTGATGAAATAGTCCTATACTCTAACTCAGCGGTTCTCCAACTTTAGAGTACCTTTAGAATAACCTGTGAGTGGGAGGAGGGTGTTAAAAAATAAAGATGCCAGAAATTCTGACTCAGTAGGCTCAAGGTATAACCTGAAGGACCCACAGACAGAGCTTTGAGATGCCTGACCTTGATCAGTCTTTCAAGCCTTCACTGGATAACTAAAATTTGCTCAAATGTCAAGAACCACAAAATTTTCAACCCATTTTCCACGTGACAAGAGCATTATCCTCCTCCCCAGATTCCGAACATCAAACCCCAGGTGGTATCTCGCTTCTACAATGGTGTCCTGGTGAATCCACAGCAACTGGACGTCAGCTCGGGTGGTTCCCCTGGGAGAAGCAGCAGGAGCAGATGTAAGGAACAGAACTCTGTTTTCATGCAGATTATTTCATAGAAAATTAAACAAGCAATAAATGCCTACAAAAAGGTATTGTGTATAACTACCACAACAAAAAAGTTGTACTTTAAGGGATAGCTCATCTAAATTTGAAAGTAACATTAGCTCTCAAAGATCCTGCACTCAGATAGGACAGAGGTCAACTTAAGGGGCTGAGGAATCAGGAAGGTTAAGAATTCATTGTAAAGATCAAATCTTGCACTGAGAAATCCCTGTGTTGAGCTGTGCGAAAACCAGATGCTTTTATTGGTAATTATTATGATGATAATTCATTTAACTA